GTTGCCTCGGGTTCAAGTGGCACTGGTCTGTTGGCAAAATGGATTTGTACCTATGTGTACATAGATATAATAGATACATAGATATGTATATGCTAAACATATTTACAGTTGTTTTATTGTTTTCTTCCTTTGTTCTACCTTTTGTGTAAACAAAGATACTCCCGCCGATTGGGATCAGCTCTAGGAGATGTGCGGATGGCTACCCAAATCGCCGAAAAAGATCAGTTTGAAGGCCACCTAGTGGTGGTAAAAGCTGTGTCTGGTGACATCTACTGACCGAATTTTCTTTCTAATCACTTGGTCAACTCGTTGGGTTCTTCAAAAGTCTTCAAACTATTCCTTTGAATGATAGTTTGAATGCTAGTAAACCAGTTTCTTCAAATGGATAGTAACTGGGAATGACTGGCGCCATGTGGCTTTACAACCGGGATACAATCGATGTACTACATCCATCTCCAAAATTGAGGGATCATCCCAATACCCTGAGGAAAATGGCGACCGCGACCCCACTTGAATTCCATGGTGAAACATGGTGAAACCCTATGTTTGATGGTTAATGCATGTGGATGCATGTGGTTTTCATCGTTTTGGATCTGTTTGGTGTCTTGCGTTGAGAAATGTTGCGAACCAAAACTCATAATTCAATTGAACAAATCCAGATGGCCCATTGGAATCGAGATAAAATTTAGAGGACAAAGCAATAATATGTACAGTATGTGTTCTTTTTAGGTTTAATATATTGCCAACCATCGCGATTTTGAAAACATGTCTGATTATCATTAATTGGAATCCCTTGTGTTACCACCTCAATCCCTCTCGCATGTTTCATCGCGAGATCACATTTGTTAATCATGTGTTAATATTTGAGCCCTAGTCAAACCACCATGTGTTTTTGATAATTTGTGGTTCGCTCTAATAATTTGATGTTTAAACGGTGCAAAACCCGTCATCCATTATAGTTAAAGCTGCTCAATTTTTTTTTAACAGTTCAATAGTCATTTTCGATGGTTCAACAACCAGTTTTCGATGGTTAACCACTCATTTCCGAGGGTAAATCCCGATTTCTGATCTGCTTGGTGGCTAAAAAACCCGTCCCAAGAATATGTGTCATCTCAACAAATCATCCCGGTGGCATTGAAAAACAACACGTATCTAAATCCCCCAAACAGTGATCCTGAAATAAATTAATTTTCATGAGTAACTCCTACATTTGTTTGTGAATTTTCAATCTTTTGATGGTTAAAACCTAAAGTTTGATGGGTAACTCCAAAATTTCATGTGTAAATCCAGATGGTCATATTGTTTTCCATGTTTTTTCATGGTTCCATAGGGTACATCCCATCTTTTTGATCATTCAAACCCAAATCTGGATGAGTAACTCCAACATGTCATGTGTAAATCCCAATTGTTGTCATGTTTTTGATGGGAAATCCACTTTTTTTGTGATGGTTAAAACCAATGTTTGATGGTTAAATCATGTGTACAGTCAAACGACAAACTCATGCCTAACCCATGCCTGGGTCAAAACTTGCGAGTAAATCACCATGGAATCGCTGTTTCAAGAAACTCATGCCTAAGTCATGCCCAAATCTTAAAACACCATGGAATCGCGCATGTATAAGAAGAATGTTTCCACACTTGGGAAAATCAAATGTTCGCAAAAATCCGTCTACAGTTGCATTCTACCGTTCATGTTTCTGGGGTTGAGAAATACTTGCCGCTTCGGTCCGCTGACTTTTTTTGCTTTGCTGACTCTTCTCGCTTTGCTGCTCTCGGTCCATCAGTGGCTTCGCTCTGCCATCCGTGATTCACAACAACCAACCTCTCCTATAGGTTTCCTATTTTTGAAACCACGACGTGCCGAACGACGTCCGAACGACGTAGCAAACGACGTCAAAAAATAACAAGAAAGGCTCTCTGCCCACCCGCCTGCGGAACCACATAAGAAACTAAAACCAACACGAAGACACAACAATGACCCTTCTCACCTCCATCTCAAGCAACACGCTGAAGTGTATGGAAAAGGTACTCTTGATGCTAAACACAACCTAAACGCACCAATTTCGTGATGGCTAAATCCCATGTGTGATAGTTAAATCATGCGCATCATCCCGGATGATCCCATTATTTTATGGTTGAAACATGCTGAAGCCCTGTAAAACCCCAAGGTTGAACCATGGTGAACTCCCATCTTACGCCAAGTCGCGCGCCGCCGACGCCTGCTCCTCCGTGGTTTGGCTCAGCTCCACCAGCCCCGCGGCGCCACGGCGAGGCAGGCCGCTGTCCTGCGCCGGCGATGGATTATAAACCACGGACCCTTGTATGGCTAACAGGAAAATCCCCACTTCTATCTGGCTTTTATAATGTACAATTATTACACACACATATTATATATATATATGCGTGTGTGGTTTATAAACCACTTACTAAGTGGGATACATATCCAAGTAGCTATACCTAGACATACAAATTAGGTTTACTTAGAGTAAATGATGGATTGTGATTGGCTCAACATTCAGAGCGAACATGGTTACATAATCATTGGCATCATTTGCAATCAATCCAGGTACCCCAAATTCGGATGGCTGACTCACTGACCGCCTCATGTTCCCTATTAAAATTGACCATTCTGATGGCAAATTTGGACTTTTTTGCAACTTTTGGATACTTTTGGGCACACCTGCATCCACTATTCAAAGCTTCCATCCCCCTGTTTGATAACAAAAAATTCATTGTTGATGGTTAGATCCATCATATTACAGGCTTCCATCTTGATGTTCACACTATATCATGTCCAAATTGCAGACCCATGATATACGTTCATATACGTTCAACATATTAACCATAAATTGGCGCTCACCCCCGACATATCGGGATATTCAACCCGCAGCAATCCAGGCTGCGCTGGGCCCCGGATGGCCCCGGTCCCGCAAGGCCATTCCTTGAGGTCCCGGAACCTAGCTGCAACACCACTGAATTCTGGGAGAAAAATTGTGTGTTTAATGGATTTTAACCCATGAAAAATGGTGATTTAACCAACAAACATGCTCGGTGTTATGTCATCAAGACTGGGACTTCACCGGCAAAAATGGGAGATATCTTAACCTGGGAATTCACCGGCAACAACTCCATGGGAATATAATTGGAATATCATGGATGGCATCACCAATAATATGTTTTTTTGGTGTGTCTAGAAATTGTGCATCTCTGTTAATGGAAATTTCCACCGGGAAAATAATGCTGAATCAGTTGATGTGGGCGTAGCCTACTTTCAGACAAACTCATATTCAACAAGAAGAGATGAGAAAACTCAATGATACACACGCGTATATAATCATAATATAATGGGGTTGAATTTAGGTGCATTACAGTGTTTACAGTAAATGTGTAAATAACAAAACGTCAAAGTCAAAGAAAGCCTAAGAACATCATCCGCAATAAGGTCTTTGGACAAATCAAAGGGGTTCAACCTGGCCTGACCCCTTCCATGGCCAAGAAACAAAGGCATTGTGGCAGATACCCCAGGCGAGAAGGCAAACTGCCACAACGGTGGCGAGACCTGCCCGGCATTTTGACAGCCAAAAGTTTGTCCAGAAACTGTGGCATTTACGGCATTTACCACAAAAATAATAAGGTATTGCCGCACCAAATATCCTGGGGATATAATAGATATATAACTGGATATACAAGTTATATAATCACCAACAATGCCAACGGGGTTTGTCGATGGGAAATGCCCCAACGTCTGGCCATATTCACAGTGGGCCTGTTGCTCGTTTCTTGATGGCCATGGCGTTCAGGAACCGCGCGTGGAACCCACTGCGTTGTGCGTTGGAACAAGCTCTTGACCTTTGCAGCCACCGTGCTGATAAGCCTCGAGATCTTCTAGAGAAACACCCATTGGATCATTGATGATCATTGGAAACACTGCGTGACTTGTGGCGGTTGCCTTCAATTTCTCTTTGATCGGTGGACCATGACGCATCAAGTCATCACTGTGGCAATCGATCATGTCCAGCCAGGGGTCTGCACCCCTTGGGCCAAATTGTTCGTCACGGCTTCCGGGCCCTGTTGGGACAATCTTGGCCTACTGGCCATGTAACAAGGAACATGATGATAAACCATGGGATATTTTGTGGGATTTTAAGGTGCCCTAGGGAAACACACATGTGTCACACAAATCCGTATGATCTGATTTTTTTTCGAACATAATGTCAACCCTTAGTAACATTAGTAACCCCTGGCTGATTCAAAATTGAGGGGAATAGGGTGTCATCTGCTACTGACTGAAATGGTAGAATGCCAGGTGAAACAGCACAGGGGTTGACAGTGCCACCCCAGCAACGCAGCACTCCTTGATGACCGAAAGACTGAATGGAGGTCACGCATAGTTCACACCTTTCTGGGTCATTCAATTGGTTTATGATGAATGATGTCCACTACATTGTGCAGCTGTGCATGTGTATTTCAATGAACTGGTTTGGGAAGAACGTCATTTGATGTCATTTGACGTTCTGGGTAAAATGAAGTTTCTTGCCACGTTGAGATCACACCCCAAATGTTCATCTCTCCTTCTTTGGCTTTCGACATTCCCAAATGATTTATGAGCAAAAGACTGCAGCACCCCCTGGCACCCCCTGGCAAACAATTCAAGATCAAAACACATTTCAACAGCCAAATAGACTGTCAGAGCCTTGCTACAACCCTGTGAGCCAGAACGGAAGCTGACCGAAATGATTTCCCCCTGTAACATTCCCCAAACTCGAGTAGCTCCACCCAGGCAAGAGGCACACAAGGTCTCAGTTTCAGAAGCTTTTTCGCATTCATGGTCCTGGTGAAACAAGGCGCGGTCCTACACTTGGCCTGGACTGATTAATGCGTGACCTAGACCTACATTCATGGCTCAAAAGCCATGATTTGGAACCGTCATGCGAGGCGCCTCAACCAAAAACAGGTTTTGAAGAAAAGTGGCAGGCACTTATGGGTCTGCTTCAAACATAATGGGCGCAACGCAGACAGTCAGGTTGAGGCCATCGTGTCATAGAAAGTGTCCTACATTGCTCCACGCCAAGAGAGCTCTCATTTGATGAGGTGGCCCGGCCGCAAAGTGACAGCGTTTGACGTACCTGACATGAGGCGCCTCTACTGAGCAAAACAGCCAAAGGATCGGCGCAAAGAGAGGAAGGCTCTCAGAAACATCTGCAATGCAGAGACCCCAAGTGAAACAGAGTCTGCAGTCTGTGTGTATGTGTCTGTGCGTGTGCAGGGACACCAGCCTAGGAAGGGAAGTCTGCGTGGCTTCATAATGAATGAGCGTGCCTAGAAGAGCACGTCGCGTATTGTGGCGAGTCATCCAAGTCATTACTTCTCTGATCTTCTCTGAGGCTTCAGCCATTTCCTCTGGCTGTGACTGCCGATGCGGCTCGCCATATCTGCCAAACATCTTGAAAGTCACTGGAAAATGTGATGCACCCCCTGCAGCCGGTCCCATTTCATACTGTCGTCCTCCATTACTCCAACCCATGACTCTGTGCCAAGTTGAAGCTGCAGCAAAGACAAGCGCCTGCCAAACCAGTCATGCAGACTGTTGACTGCGACCTGGCATTGCTGGCGGCAGCACAGCTTTCAACCCAGCACCTCTCTGCAATATGCTGAAGCATTCAAAGACTCTCTACGAATGTTGTTAATTCCAGATGCTCCATGTATGGAATATATCCCTACATTTACCCCCAAAATGGCCTAAATGTCAAAAAAAAAACATACATGAAGCATCTAGGAATGGAGACTTGGGGAAATCGAACCGGTTCCAAACTGAGAGTCTCGCAGCCTGTGTGCCGTTCTGTTGCTCGTGCTTTTCAGCCTTCCCATTGATCGTGTTGCAGGCAATTGGACACGCATTTCAGGAGCGATGACTAATCTAAGCCTTTAAAAGTATGATGCGCTGAATGATGTTGAAATATGTTGAATATCTTGGATGTATTATGCGTTGATTCTGTTCGATTGCTTGATTGTTCGGTTGTCCACAGTTTTCCTTCATCATTCCTAGACCTTTTCCTTCTCGAAAGTTTTGATCCATTCCGTATTTTTTGGACGAACCGGATTGCACAAATGTGGTTTCAACCTCCTCGAGTTGCATGTGGATTCAGTTTGCAGGCCTCCTGACTGCGTATTTCTACATGTTTCTACATCATTTCCCCCGTTTTTGGACCCTTCTCAGCCCCAAGTTTCCCAAGTTTCCCTCCACAGCCGGTGCCTTGCCTTCTGCAGCTGCTGCACCTCGATGGAGCTGTGGGAACAACGCAGGCATAAACGCCATATACACATGATCGGATCGAACATATCTAGTTTTATTTGTTTGTATGTGTTTATATATATATATATACTGTATATGTACTGTATATGTATGTGTATATATATATATATATATGTGTGCGTGTGTGTGTATTAATTGACTATTTCATAAGCATGTGAAATGCACAGTATATTACCTATATATATATATATCATTATTACTATTATTATTATTGTTGTTTTATCATATGGTACACATCAAGTGATGTGGAATGATGTGGATAGGTCCTTTTCCGGCATGTCTTTCACTGCAAGCCCTCGCTGTGGACTGGCTACTGTTGCTGTTCGGGAAAGGAACACGTGCTAAAGCAAAGCAAGCACAGAATAAGCACAAAAAACTCAGGTAGCTGACGGGAGACAAGCCGGCAAACGCAGCCAAGAGAAGCGCAGAACGAAATTCACCAAGGGAAACAGCTTGGGAGACAAAGCGGCAGCAACAAATTTGGGGCGGCCAAAGATAAACCGACCCACTGAGAAGTAAGAACCTCTATAGCCTATAGCTGATGCTAAAAAGATGAAGCAAATTGAAGCAATACAACCAGGCAGCAGCCAGGGGAAACAATGAAGGTTGGATTTCGAGACCTACATGACCTTGCACATAGAGCCATAATTTGACAGAAAATTCTTGTCATGCTTAGTGTTGGGTGTCTGGTTTGGTGATATGCGGGACATCATCGTCATAATCATTATATTTGCTGACGGAGCTTTTTTTTTTTGGTTGAGCTGTGGCAGAACACATTTGACGTCTCAGTCAGCAAAAACGCTGACGAAAATGAAGAATTTTAAAGGAAGATGATTACCGGGTTACTAAAGCGTATCATAGCGTATCTAAAGCGTCGCTACCAGCCCTTCTAGGAGTTCTGCAACTGCTGTGCCCTGGCCTCCTTCTGTAAAGTGTCCAACTCCTGCGAAACTCTGAGAACGCTTTGCAGCGTCTGCGCCAACCTAGTCCAATCCAGCCGAGGCAAGTTGTTTTGTGTGAACCCCGTAGGCCGTAGACGTCAAATCCAAAGACAAAAGCGGCAATCTTTGGGCACCTACAAGCTGCGCAAAATCAACGAAAGTTTCCGCAGCACGTCTTCAGGCCCCTGCCCCTCTGTTTCTTCACTCGGCAGCTTGGCATGATGACACTCCCTGAAATTGCAGGGGCAAGAAATCCTCCAAATTGCTTCCTGTGGAGGTGCACTCACTGGACGGAGTCAGGGCACGAAAGGAACAAGGAAATGCACTTGGTGCCCTGCATTGGTGCAAAGAGCTGACGGGACCTGAAGCAATATTGAACAAAACACGAGTATGCATTGTGGTTCTTTCGCGTTCTGCTTGACCACCGTGCCAAACACGTGTCAACTGCACGTATTTTTCATGGTCTAGGCCCCCGGCTTCTTGACAGCAACCTGCTGTGCCTTTACATTGCCTCTCCTGATGCCGTGACAGTTGCCACGCTTGTTGCGACATGGTGCCACTCTGCAACTCTGCGGGATGTCAAACAGCTGAGGAACCAACTGGACGACAATGTCCTGCAGAAGAGTTGACTTGAGAGGAGGACGTATATGCCAGGCTTTACTTGCTAACCATTCATATTCCCTGACGTTTCAAGCTTATCGAATCAACAATGCTTGAGGCTCAAAATCACAACTGGCTTTGCATGTGTGTCTATGCCATGCGTGCAGCACAAACCTCACCCACGAGACGCCGAAGGCCTTTTGCCAAAGCCTGATCTGAAGCGGATGAAAGCAATAGGTACAAAGAACATCAAAGAACCATACTAAAGGAAAAGCAAACACCGCAGAAAATTCTTCGTTGCGTGTCTTGTTTGCCAACCCTCGTGTTGATACACCTCGCAGGTCGTCGCTATTGGTTGCCGTTTGCCTTCTGTTCACGCAGAAGTTCAGCTCTCCGGGCGTTGATTGCGTTGATTTTCTCAGCCTCATGACAATAATCACCACTGTTCAACTTGAAACTCTGGGTTCTCTTTTTCAGAAGAAATTGCCTTTTCGTTTTGTTCCAGTTGTTCACATTTGAATGCCTGAGGCTCAAGCACCAGGACTATGAAGACCCAGTGCGCAAATCTTGTCCTCCGCGAGTCTCCCAAGATGTGTGCTGCAATATGGGTGCATTGTCCAATGCGTCACTGCGCCTCTTTCCGTTTCTTCAGGCTCCACTCATCCATGGCAGACAGCAACGGTGGCCAAACTCACAGGCTTGGCCCGGCAAGGCAGAACCTTGCCCTCGCACGGCCCTGCTTGCCCTGCTTTTAAGCGCAAAAAACACAGCAAACATCAGCAAACTGAATGAGAACACACTGGTGAATCAAGCGGTTGCGGACAACCAACATAACCAAGCAACACCCACCAATTGAAACATTCACTCACTGCAGTCACCCAGCCAATGACCAAGTACATTTGCAACGACACAGCATATATATAATTACAATTAATTACATATGATTAAAAAAGTATACATAACTATATAAAGACTTCCGTCCAGTGCACACAACATATCGCTGGCTATTGTGTATTCCAAATCTTCTGGCACTGCTCATGCCACTTTGTCAACGCCATCCTATGCTGCGTTAAGTTGTCGCAACCGGGACTTTTTCGGACTCTGGGGCAAGACACATCGACACCGTATTTTGGCATCCACAAACTCGAGGATCTCGAGGCTTGGAAAGTGAAACCAGGAACCGAAGTGAGAAAACTCACTTTCTGGGTCTAGGGCCTCATTTTTGATCATTTTTGTGGTTTTAATCCCACACTGTCTGTCCATGGCGAAATCGCAACATTTTTGTTGAGGTTCTGTGAAAATTAGAGAGTTCCAGTCCTTAGTCTGCAGCCTCGCACCTACTTCATGGTGCATTCTGATTAAAGGCATTCCAGAAAAGGCTGGGCCACGGAATTGTTTGCCACGCAAAAGTATGAAGTAAGGGGCATGAAAACTGGATCCGGATTTGACCTTTCAAACATGGCCAGGTCATACTCAGTTGGAGTTTGAACTTCTTCAGGACACGCTGACAGCACTGGAGGCACTGAAGGTATTTGAAGATATCTGGATTGTTCTGGACATCAAAGTTAGTCAATAAGGGACAACAACTGGCAGATAATGGGATAAGCATTTGCTGCAAATAAAGTCAATGTTGGTTAACCCACCATTCTTGTAATCGCCAGTGCTTTAAGGTGGGCTAAGAATTTGGAATGCTTTGAAATATATGATAGGAGCCTTGAGGACCCAGCGAGAGTTTCGATCAACCGGTGCCCTTGGGGTGTGTTGCCGTGGAAAGCTGATTGGTATAAAGTGTATCAATGTCAGGTTGGCAAGTTTGATTCTCTTGCCTATCAATTTGATTTTCTGAATGCCAAACATGTCCCAATTTGTTTCAACTTGTAGCTCCATTCGTGTCACATATCTACAGACACAAAGATCTCAGCAAATGAGCAGTGCTCAAAATCCCTCTGTCATTCCATTAGTATAATACTAGTTGGTTTATAGGGATTCCCCTATTGAATTATTGCAATCCCGAATATACTGGGTAGATCTGGGTAGTATAATCCCCTATACTATATTCATCAACCAACAGGGGTTTTGAACACTGCTCAAATGTATGAGTGCTTCTAACACGGCAACCCTCCGAGTGAAGTGGAACGTTGAACGTCACTCAGGTGTAGAGGGCTGGGTCGATGGCTGCAGGCATGGGCAAGATCTTTGTGCCCATGGCTTTCCTGAAGGGAAGGACGTAGTTTGAGTCTCTGGGGATGGAAAACATGGCAGGCAACATGAAATAAACAAATGCTGCAAACAATCAACAAAATATGGGTGGTAGGGATATGATGATACTACTTTGAAGTTCAATCAACAATTCATACATCAGTTGAAACCTTCGCGCTCTGCAGAATAGCAGTCACGGCCGCATAAACCGAAATATTCGTCCCTGGACGTCCCCAGTAAGTAGAGCTGGCACATGCTGGCACTTTGCTACACAGTAGTATGAAGGTGGGTGGGCTGGGGTTTCCTCCAGTTGTGGGCTTGGGCTTGGGGGACCACCTTTGGCAGCTTCGAATCATGCTATATGACCATGTTCGCACTCTTCGGGTCAGACCTCAATTTGTGTTTGCCAAACTCCAAATTGTGTCGGTAAACGCCTACATGTTTGCTGTTTCATAATCTTTCACCTGATATCGTATTTCTCCTTGATACATCCCAAATTTTGCTGGGAAAACGAAATAAAATTATATCAAGACTATAGAAACAACTATACAAAACCATATGCAACACCCAATTCAGTGAATATAAACTACCCTCCAGTAAATTAACATAGACCCTGCCAGATAGGGGTTGGAAGATTAGTTTCCATTAAAAATTAGTTATTTTCAGGGTCTATGTTTATTTACCAGAGGGTAATCTATATAGCCTGGACCTTCCAAATCAATCCAGATCCAAGAAATGCCATCGAATCAGTTCCCAGATGCTGCAGCCGCAGCAGGTCGATCCGGTCGCGTTGCGTCACAAAGGAGATCGCCAAGCCTGGCGAAAATCCATCCATATATATTATATTATATATATATGTATTATATATATATATATATATGTATTATATATATATGTATGTATGTGTATGTGTGTGTATTATGGGTATAATGGAATAATCAACCAATAATATTCATGGTTGATGTGTTTTTGTTCATGGTTGATTATCCATTGATCAAATAATTTATGTATATATATATGTATATCATACAAAATGGATAATTTGGACAATCAAAACGGATTCATAGGATTCTCCATGGAATGCGGAGATGCATCGTCATAACGGTTTGTTTGTTTCCTCCGGGACGTTGATGCGAGATCGCCGCCAAGCATAGATAAATTCTTCTATACAGGACTTCCATATGATATATATATATATATACAATATCAAGATATATATATACTAAATATATACTCTGAATAAATATACTATATGTTTATGCTAAATACATGTACTATATATGTATGTACAATAAATATATACTATAATATATATATATACTCTAATATATATATACTACAGTATAATATAATATATAATATAATGCAAACTAATTTACTGTGTATATATATATGTATATACTATAAATACATATACTTTATATATATATACACACTATAAATATACTATATACATATATATATATACTATTTATATACTATATATATACACACTTTTTATATACTATGTATATATACTATATATAAACTGTATATATATATATATACTATATATATACTATATATATACACACTATAAATACTATATATACACTATATATATACTATATATATGCTGTATTTACTATATATATATACTATACATATATATATATGCTATATTTACTAAATATATAATTATATATACATATTTCGATCAATAATGGATACTTGTTGGAACAAATTGATGTTGAACCAGCAAATAAATGGACAATATGAATACAGTATATTAATATTGAATATTCTGATCCATGTTCAATATCTTACTGGAAAGACACGGTTAATATCCAAGATGGATCCCTTAAGACAATATTCCGGCTCAATGGACAATCCCATTAATATGATGCATACTGTCAGTATCATTCATATGTATTCATTGAATCGATATACAGTTCAAATGGATAGTCAATGGGTACTTGTTGGGCAATTACTTTGAATTCTGAATGGTTTCACGTTTCGTCTTTGTAATTATCATTGGAATATGATTCCCAAACTGGATTATCAATGGATATTTAATGGATAACTAACGACAATAATGGATAATACATGGATAGTCAATAATGGAATAATGGGGATATACTTACTAACACAGTAGTGTCACCATCCACGGGATACTGTTGATGGGATCATGCCATCCATCAGATATGATCGTATAACTAATGAATGGATATGAACGGATTATCAGGACGTATCAGGACGAATGGGATTATTTTCATGGGCATACAAATATATATATATATATATTATATACCCTCTGGTAAACGAACATAGCTAGTCAAAATGGCCATTTGTGGTTGATTTATCCATTGAAAATGGTGATTTTCCATAGTTATGTAAACGTTTACCAGAGGGTAAAACCACCATTTTCCCATGGTTTTCCTATGATTTTCCCATAAAACCACCATTTTCCTATGATTTTCCAATAGATAACCAATGGACTTCTTCAGTCCGGTGTTTTACCAGCCATCCGTCCGTGTTCGCTGGGATGTCACCGGATGGGATCGCGGGGCACGGTACATGCACGACTGGGAATGATTTATCCAACGAAAATTGGGATGTACCCTCTGGTTATTTAAATGGGTAACATAAAGCATCTATTTCTATGGACCATCTATACCATGGATAGAAAATCAAACACGCATTTTTAAGAACGCTATAAATATATGGGCCCCTATGATTTAGCCATGGAAAGATCCACCCATTTTTAAGAACGGTAAACCATCTATTTCTATGGACCATCTATACCATGGCTATGTAACAAATAACCAGAGGGTAACCAACTCCACATTGATGAAACTAAGGGTCACTTTTTGAATGGGATGCAACGGGGATGTTCGACGATATCTTATGAATATTTTGCCAACTTGATATTATTGCGGTCTGTCTATCTGAAAATGGGGGACTTTTTTCCACCCTTAAATGATGGCAGTCCAGTGGAAATTGGGCTTCAATGGGGTTCTTATCCTCCGGTAATCAAACACAGCAATTGAGCAATTGAACATCCCCTACTTCCTACGTCTAGATGAGTTTCCCATTAACACCTCCAAGTTTGGTTCTATAGGAAGCAATTAAGCAGCTTTTCGCTGCAAACATGAACAATGTTCAAATGCGTTTGACAAACAAAATGGTGTTGAACCAGCAGACCAACAAAAACGACTCTTGAAGCAACCTTCATCCAAAGTGTCGCGAGAAATCAACATTGATAATATTGGATAGACATGAGCATGTTGCGTATTCCAGTCATCTTTTGCGGTAAAACACACTGATCAACCAAATCAAGCAATCGCGGGGATTACCAACAATGTGTTTTTTTTCTTATCGGGGTTTCCTTACTTGAAACTTGAAAGTAAGGAAAATCGCCCAAACAAGAATACACCAACTATTCACCAAAGTGTGTCAGATTGGTCACTGACTATTTAATTGGGGGATTGCTAACCCCAAACAGGTGATAAATTATTAAAATTGGCACACCCACCTCTTCATAAAGTGGCAGTCTATGAATGTTAACATCTCCCGCTATCTCCGAACTCCACGGCCGGCCTAAACGGCTGAAGCGGCCGGTACGGTGCAAGTAGGTCTGAGGCCCCCGAGGAAAGTCGAAATTGATCACCACCTCAACACAAGGAAGGAAAGAAACAGTGGTGGACCTGGGGATTTATTTCTGGATTGTTGGGTAACTGATCGTTTGGGTAGCTGATCGTATCGCGTTAATTGCAGGAAAGAAATTTTGAACATGAGATTGGAAAGGTTCAACGCACCCTCTACACGTGGGGTGTTCTTCGGCATTTTGCACTCCAAGTATGGAAGTGATGTTCGACTAATAAATGGATACAGTATGATAAAGTATACAACCATCGTTGTATATAACAATAGTTATATATAATACCGTATAATATACATAAATGGTTATACTAGTATACTAATATACAGTATATAACATTATATAACCATCGTTGTAAGGCTGATATCCCAACTTGACTTCACCATGGTTATACCGGCTATACCGTAAGTCCTGCACCGTCACCATTTGGGGCAACTTGGGATGGGATAGCAAGTCACAGGTACAAACACATTTCTATTTATATAGATAAATTACAAAAGTTAACAACGGAAAAGATAGAACAGTAAGTCATCACTATTGTATAGTAGTAGAGTAGGATACTTGTCTATCTTTTTTGGACCTGCTATACTGCATATAAAGGGAGAATTGTGCATATTGATCTGCAAACCATCAATCAAGACGGGCACGGCCTAGGGCCTATGTAGCCGAGAGTCAAAAATTGCATCTCAGTAGTTGCTATTATCGGTTATCGGTCATCGCTTTTGGGGGGCCATATCGCTTTCCGGTGTTTTGTGCCATTATCGCCTTTGCTGGGCCCTATCGCTTTAGGGATCTTTACGGTGTTTCGTGCACATCTCTAACAAAAATGCTTCTCCAATACTAGAGTCTTCAACCATTTTGACAGTAACTCATGTATAGCTTGCTACTTACCAAGTCCTTTGCTGGTTGACAAACTGTTTCTATGTTCCAAGTCCGTATGCGATTCTTGGATTTCCATATCCGTAGCATCATTGGACTGGACGGGTCGACCTCAGCATTGTGGGGACATATCAAGGGGTGCTCTTCATCAATTTGGAAGAATACTCAAGGACCTGTTGGGATTACTGAGAACCATACCCGTGATTGCCAACATCTCCGACCATCAGCACTAACCGAAATGGCCACCCCCCGGGAAATTGACACTGTCCAGACATCCATCCTCATCATCCAGGCGCATTGACCGACTCTGTCTCGATGCCACGCATGAAATGCGAAGAACACACCATGCTTTGACAAGCTCCAGACCACGCGTCTTGAAGAACTTGTTGTCTCTCAGACTGAAAAAGGCCCGGGTGGAAGAAGAGACATGGGTAACCTCACAGCGGTTCTGCGAAAATGGAACGTGTTTGCCCCTGGAAAAGATCACGACATAATGAAAACAATAAGGGGGTGGAATACAAGAAATACAAGCAACTTGAAACCACCAACCAGAAAATACCGAGTTCTCAGTAGAAGAGACGCTAAAGGTGGGATTGGCACACCCAAAAGCCAAACCATTTGTCCACAGACTAGGGGTCCTCTGGTGAAGAATCTTCTAACCGCCAACGGACAATAGATCCCAAAACACTATAATGTTGATACATTAATATGCATAGCCCTATGATTGCTTCTAATACCTGCATGTGTGTCGGTTTAACTGCCAATCTGAGTGCTTATCTTCCATGCAACAGGATCACCCCAGGTCGACGCATGGGTTGGTGTCTTCCGAGCGACCCAAATGCGTCATCTTCCGGGCGAGCAATTTCACGCGAGTCACCGAATTGCAGAAAATGATGACCTGCTTCGGGGCACTGGCGAGAATTATTGGGGTGTATTATATCCCAAAGGATCCATGGTGCTGGTATATATGCTAACATTTGGGGTATATTGATGGTAAATGTTACCATATATGGCATACATGGATCCTATGGGTATGCTGTTGCAGATTTTGGGGATCTTTAGCGTGTAAGACACTTACACCCCCTGGTGAACCCAGCCGGAAAAATTCAACGACTGGTTTGGAAACCACCTGCCATCAGTCCCCGTCGTACCATCGGGTGTTCCTTCCAGAATCCTTTGAGTAGAAATGGTTTCATTGAAAAAGGCCAATTAGAAAGCCAGCATACAGCATCCAGTTGGCCATGGATATACATCATTGTCTGTCTACCTGTCGTCCCAACTGCTTGAATAACCTAAATGACAGTGTTGTACCCAATGGAATACCAGATCTTTAGGATCTGCGGCTCAAGATGAACGCCTTAAGCATCCAACAGTCAGTGACTGCCCAGCTTTGGCCAGCTCAAAGGGACATGAAACACTCTAGACTTAGACCTTGATTGGGTTATCAATGGCTTCCCCCTAGCCTATTCCCATTTGTTGATATTTGTTTGCTCAACGAAACCCGAAGTCTTGAATTTCTGGACATTTTTGGGGGGCATCCTTTCAGCCCGACCCTTTGGGGATATCCAACTACCTGATTGATCTGAAATGTGGACAGCGCTTTCGTCAGGCAGAACACCTTTCGATTCCTGGGCACTGAATTTGACCGGAAGTGGGTCTTGGCTGCTTCGCGGGAAAGAATGAGGGGCACTATGAATTACTATACGCTTCTGAAGATTTCGACTATATAAGCCAACTATATACCGTAATAGACTAATTCTGAGGCAGCGCGCTTCATTTTCAGAGAAACATGTTGAAAATGCATGAAAATGCTGCCTCCATTTTAGGCAAGATCGATATCGTCAGGGCTGATGACTCCCAATACAAAAGGCATGAGCACGACTATGACAATGAATACACTGATGAGGAACATGGTGAGTTTTCCATAATTTTCGATTTTCTGCAATGGCACAGAGCCTCATCTGTCCCTACATTCATAGAATTGGGTTGAGCTGTGTGATTTGTGGAAATACATGGGGGGCGCACTGCTACTAGGCACATCATCCAAGCAAAAACAACTCCCGCCCACAATCCGTCCAGCTATATCTGGTTGGTGCTTTTAACCATCTTGAAAAATATGAGTTCGTCAATGGGAAGGATTAGATTATCCCATATATGATGGAAAATAATCCAGCCATGTTCCAAACATTTCCAAACCACCAACCAGATCTATCTGTCTATCTATCTATCTATCTATCTATCTATACCCCCCGGTTATTTAACATAGCCATGGAAAATCACAATTTTTAATAGGTAAACCATCTATAAATGGGCGATTTTCCATGGCTATGTTAAATAACCAGAGGGTATATTCAGCTCATAAATCTCCGAGATTCTCCTCCACACAGATATAGAACTGCGAGACGCCATTGAGCGTCAGCTGCTCCTTGAAATTCACCTCATGCCTCGCCGATAAAAAAAGGGCAACCGCAACGACTCCGAAAACCCATCACATTCCCAAAAAATGGGGGGGCCCAAACGATAGCTGGTGCAAATAACTCCAATAACTATGGTTTATGATACTTATATAACTTATAACTGTACTATAGTTAATGGATGTTCATAGGGTTGAAAAACCAACTTATCACTGCGGGGCCCACATTCCTAGGGATGAAACATGCCGAGTGGATATGACAGCACCAGGCGCTTGCTTTTTCATTCGGGTGCCTGTCCTCCAATATACCCCACCTCTGGTAAGAACATGATCTTCCGAACGCATGGTTTTTAGGGGGGTTCATCAGTGCTGTCACTCGTTTTCCAACTGACCCAGGTGTTAGATGACTGGACCCACCGACCAAAGCGCCAAGTGACACATCTGTTAGGTGACAATTCTTGAAATGCACCATGGCGCTGGGGTAAGTTGCCTCAGGTACCGCTTACCAAGCGAAGGTCAGCTGACGCTTGGAAAGCGCTCGGGTCTACGAAGTGGGTGAACAAGTTGTGGTGATCCTTCAGCTTTCAAGTGAGGTACCGGGCAATTCTGGATATTTAACAGAAACTCCACTCAGAAGCACCAGAAGAAGAGCAAGAACAATCCATGCAGCAGGACAGTGGAAAGAAACAACGGCACAGACCCAATGCTGTGATAGACCAAATAATAAGTAATAGACCATCCCCAATCTCCAGAAATAAATTGCGTAAAACTCCTAAAAACCATTAAGCTGGTGAATCCATGTGAATCCCAGATCTTTCGCATATCTTTCAGAGCTTTGGCACTGAATACATCAAGAACTGCCGTCTCTGCGAGGGCAGGAACTGCACAATGTCCTGGTGCGCAGAGAACTTCAAGGTGACACAACGGGTTCTACCATCATTATATATATATATATATGTGTGTGATTGTGTGTGTTGTTGGTGTTGTTGTTGTTGTTGTCGTTGTCGTTGTCGTTGTTGTTCTTGTTCTTGTTCTGGTTGTGGTTGTGGTTGTGGTTGTGGTCGTCATCGTCGTCGTCGTCGTCGTCGTTGTTGCTGTATTGTGTATATTGGACATACAATATTTCCAAGAATTACCCATTCCATTGTAATACATTGTAATCGTTATATATATATATGTCATAAATGTAAACAAATATGTCTAAGGGACCTAAGGGAGAGGGAAAGAGAGAACTGTGGTTTTGGCTTCGGACATGATGCGTGATCAGTACAGGTGATCCTGGTGGAACAAATCCATCGGGGTTTGTTGGGGGAACCATGGGGAACCTGTTCTATTGAACGCAGGGACCACTGAAAATCTTCAACAGGTTCAGTTCGGTGATTCAAACTATTCTGCCAGGATGTTCTTTAATTTTGCGTGGGCAAACCAACAGGGATCTAGCATATTTGCTCTCAACTATCGGAGCATCAATTATCAATATCTGTGCTCTTGTTCCTTTCATCTGCTTCATTCTTTCTTATGGTAGTTTTCTATGGATTTCACATATAATATATATATATATATATTTCTCATTATTTCTCCATGTTTCACATATTTTTGCCACTTTTCCAGCAGGGAATCCCCAGATGGTCTCAGATGGCTGTCCTCAAGGATCGGTAGAAGTTCCGGGCAGAAGAAACGATCCGCTTCGTCCATGACGATCAACTGGCATCTACTCCTGAGACGCGATTGTATGCGATTGCCAACGCGGTATGGTGCGGTCCCCCACTTAGATGGATCAAAAAAAACACAAGTTATAGATTAATGGAACATGCCCACTCTTATATATATATATATACGGGATTATATGGGTTATAATGGGTTATTATGAATTATAAACCACAAAAGCAAAGCGGGATGCACATCCAAGAACCCCCAAACTTTGACAAAGGCGGTTGGAGGTGACATGGCTTGCTGATTTCAACGACGGTCACACATCTGGAGTAGAATTTGGTTGTACAGATCTGCTTGTCTGCACAAAGGGCATCCCAAAATCCATAATCTATATATATATATATACTATAACTATGTATAACTATGTAAAAGTATGTATAACTATTAGTTTTTTGTATAGTTTTGTCATATAAAATGTCCTCTCTCTTTCCTACCAACACAAATCAGACTTACGATTTACCAGCCACATCCCGTGTATACCATCCCTTCCAGCTACAGACCTCTCGATCTACAGGCAAGGCACAGGTTGCAGGCGTCCTGCAAGACAGTGTATATCAGCATGCTTGCCACATGCTATCGTGATAGGGCTATGCCTCAAAACCCTGGTACCATAGGTACCCTAAAAAAGCTGGTTAATGAATGTTTATTCCCCCAATATGGTAATAATTGGTTTTGACCCATCCCCATAGAATGATTTCAACTGTGCATGAAGGCCAAGGTGCTAACCCGCCCCTGCCATCCACCGGAGCCTCGTGGGCAAGGTCCAGCAACCGTCCAGGGGTGGCAATCAAGATATGAACTTCACCAGACAAACGAACCAGATCGTCTCCTGATTCGCCAGGAAGAACTGGGCCAACTGGGCCAACTGGGCCCGGGTTTGCTGCACCAGATTTCAGTTTAAAGTCCTTAAACGACGCCCCAGGTGTTGCATCAACTACAAGCAGTTGCCTATTGGACACCACATGCTCGTCCCGCCCTTGGCCACAATGTACTTCATGTCCATATGCTTCCCAAGGAGTCCTCCACGCGCCGCTGAGCATTGGTTTAAGGGACACTCTTACAAGAAACCCATGTATATAGAACGCCTAAACCAACATGCGCATGGAGAAAACATTCTATATAAAGCTAAGCTAGCTACACATCTGATCTAAACTATGGAATCTACTCTAAACTATGGAAATTCTATATCATCATTATTATCACTATGCTTAGCATTATTGAAATGAACATATATATATAATATATATATATATAAATATATTATTATTATTATTATCATTATTATTATTATCATTATTATTATTGTTATTGTGATTGTTAAAAAAACAATTAAGTCAATAATAAATAGTAATAATAATAGTAATAATCATAGTCATAATAATAATAAAATCTATGGTTTCCTCTGATTTCTCCAACCAACCCGGTGAAGCTGCCGCCATCTCCTAAGACGTTGGAGGTTTGCAAGGCCAGTTCTCTGGTAGGGACCAGAACCAGTCCTATGGCCAGGTTACCGTCGCCTTCTCAAGGAACAATCTCTAGGACTCTAGGTTTTGTTGTCTTGTGATTGTTTAAAGTCAAATCCCTCACTAAATGTGAAGTTGGTCAGCTAAAGTTCTCATGTCTCTTACTCAACCCATCATCAATGATGACTTAACCTAGCTAAGAGACCTTGAATCGCGTTCTTCGTAGAGTGACACTTCTCCAGCAAAGCTATGACGAAAGCTTCCGTTCTTCCACTGCCATTGGTGGCCTTTCGCGTTTGGTCCAACTGGCGAGTGGCTGAATCCCTATGAGAAAAAAAGAAGAGTGGCCCTATTCATTGCTTAGCTTGGATACCTGGATATGCCTCAAAAAAGGGTCTGTTTGATGTGTTTGATGTGTTTGATGTGTCTCTGTTATCGGGCATGGGGTAGTAATGGACAGTCAAATCATTCACTTGCAGCAAAATGAATGTATACCATTAAGATCCATTGAGGCATTGGCCTACCAAAACAAAACATACCAAGAAAGATGAAGCATCATGGGACGACAGAAATGATGTGCGGAGTTGCTTTTATCATATTAATAAGACCCAAAATTGATTAGCAATGAGAACTGCAACTGGCGGCCGCACCCACCCAAGGTAATATTGGACCTTCCAGGAACAAGCTGAAAAACTATACCCTCTTGCGCACGAGCAAAATATCAAACAGACAGGATCTGAACGTTTTACAGAATGGACAACGTTCCAACCATACCTTTCCACCCATCTTTGTCAAAAAGCATCCAAACTCATCTGCAGTAACATCAGAATCAATTATCACAAGTTCTGCCATTACATGTTTTTGGGCTACCCCATCTCCGCATATTTCTGGACCCTGGTACCTGGTACCCGGTGCCCCTTAAACGTTTAAAATGCTTAAAGGACCCGCCTTGGCCAACAAGCTCTTTCCCGCGAAGATCGCCAGTAAGCTCTGCTGTTGAATGGCCGATGCGGAGTTCAGTCCAGCTTCTTGGAGGCCCTTCAGCAACTCGGGTTTCCTCAGGGCCACCGTGAGTCACGTCGAAGTCTTCGACTTTATATACGGATTAATAGTGATCAATAGTGATTAATTTGGATTAATATGGATTAATATGGATTAATAATGATTAATATGGATGAATAGTGATTAATATGGATTAATACCCATATTTGTAGCTATTTGTGGGGTGATTTTAAGTGAGGAAAAGGTATCTTTCTGAATGGTGGCTTGCTGGACTAATATTTTCCAGTCCGATGATTTTCAACCACAAAACCTCCATGGTAACCATGGAATAGGCATCACTACTATAGACTAGACTAATAGAGATCTATGTTACATGGATTAGAATCCACCATGGACCAGCTAGCAGCTAGTACAATCCCCCATTTTTTCACCAATCAACAGTGGTACTTGAAGTGGCACATGGGTCAAGTCGGCAAATAAATGGCCCAAAGAAGGCTGGTCCACCACGTTTCTGGATGTCTCATGGACCAAATGGAAATGTCACAAGAAATGTGCCGTTTTTCTCCATCGAACCGATGGCTTTCCTAAGCAAGGATTTATTTGCTTCCAAGGGTCTTCGATGGCTTATGAGGGCCAAAGCCACAACTTTTAAAACAAAGATCCTTTGGATTGATTTTCTAACCCTTTGGGACTTGGACCTGATTTAAGGCCTGAGGTTGATGGCTTCCAACAGGGAGGAGGAGGAGGTCCTCAAAGACGGAAAAAAAGGGATTGAGACGCTTAGAGGAAAATTGTACAACGCCATCACAGTGGGAGAGTGACATGCACACATGCACACACACACATGTATATATATAGTTAAACCTATATATATATATACATACACATATTGTTCCCCACATACGTAGATGTTTCATGCACATTCAAGATTGGGATAATTGCAGACTTTGACTGAGGCAAGAGGGAAAAATATCGCCAAAAATCTCAATGCAAACATGTTAAGAGGAAAGCCATCCACAAAAGGTGAAGATCCAACCAAAGGGCAATCTAATTCCCAAAGATTTGATGCCTTAAACGTGATGGAACAACGAAGATGACACAAGTATTGCAGGAAAAGATGACGAGGGCACCCTGACCTAGCCAAGCAAAATTAACCTTTGCTTGTTGTCCACCTGTCAGCCCCGGGCACCCTGTTATGAAATGAACAATCATCTACATCTTTTCTTAACAGACCATCCAGGGCCATCCACTGAACTCTTTAGATCCAAGTTTCAAATTAAAGTCTTCAAAGCCTAACCTCCCCTGGCCATTGCCCATATCCCAGTCCAACTGATGCGCACAGCACCCTGTGGTCGAATTGCTCGGTCCCAATGGCGGCGCCGTTTAAATGAATAGGGCATCTTCCACCGAAGGCGGAGCGAAAAAAAAACATGGCCATGCCCAATGGCAAAGTAGTTTCCAACCCCCAGAAATTTGAGTTCCATGGTATAGTTGGTATATGTCAGTATAGTAGTATAGGATAGTATAGGTCTGTGGTGGGAATGGTCCAAAAACTCCGGTAAATCCATGTTAAAAGGTTTCAGAAGTGTTGGAAAATCATGCCCGCGTAGAGGATGGCTAAGTCGGCTAAGTTCGATCAAACTTTCCCTGTGCTTCGGCTGTCCGGTTGGCATCCAGCGACTTTTTCTCTGGAGATTCTAGACTGAAACTGGCAGTCCCTGGAGTTTTTTGGCTGAGACTTGGTGATTCAGCAGGATCTTGCCCTCCACTCAGAGGGTCTTGGCAAAGTTACCTTGACATCCCAGTGGCGTCCGTGGCGGTTGGGGATCACGAACCGAAATCTCAGTGTTGCCTTCGATTTCAGGTCGGGTCACTGGGGGTCATTTTCGGGGTAATCACAGGAAACAGAAGATACGAATGGCGATCATGTCACCATCGAACTGATGGTATCGATTTGCATCCTGTTATTTGATTTCAATCAACCAACACGTGAACAACCAACCCCGACATGTGTGGGATGGGTGGCAAACTTCAATCAACAAGTGCAACATACTGCAACTTTCGAATTAGGGCCTTGGTCATAATATGTCCCCCAGGACCGTCTTTGACGGCTCAATTGGGTAAGGTCAAACCATCCCCGTTTGATGCACGGTTGCTTCTTTAAAGGAGGCTAACAAAGAAGGGGAAAAACCTCAACATCTCAGGATACATCAGGATGGTCCCATCCTGCTCCCCATCCCCTAGCTGCCCGCCAAATGGCTGTTGTCCAGCATCTTGCTGTAGGGACTGTCGCCCATCTGGCTCTTAGCCTCACCCGCCATCATGGTGATATAGCATAACCCACTGACTTTTGTAAAGCCAACGCCAATCAGGGTAGGTTTATGTAAATAAGGATGAACTTATATTCATACAATGATTCAACGATGTATATAGATTCAATTAGATGAAAATTAGATATCATCTAGATCCATTGCATCCACAATAAGAATCATTTACACTTGAACAAAAACAATCACCAGAAATGGCAGAAACTCTGCCTTGCTGGTATGATCGATTCATGATTCACGTCAAAAATTGGGCCAGCGCTGTACGTCGAAAATGGGAGTTCAAGCAACAAAATATGCAGTTCTTTACGCTATAATATCTGGTTGGTGGTTTCAACCCCTCTGAAAAATATTAGTCAATGGGAATGATTATCCCATATACTATGGAAAAATAAAAAATGTTCCAAACCACCAACCAGATATGCTATAATAGTGAAAAGTAGTGAAACATCTTCAAACCCAAGCGACCAAACGGCCATAAACGACCCTTGTCTTGGAGCTTTCTGCCACTTTCTGCACCCCTAATCACCCATGGGTCAAATGGGTCAGGGCATACCAACACCACAGCAACTTCCACCAGGTCACAATATCTGCAGCACTACCACCCTGAGCAGGTCATCTTCACAAAGAGAGGCTCGTCGTTTGATATTACTCAAATCACTCAGCTCGCTTATGAACATCAAGTTGGATTTTATGGGAATTAACAGAATATTCATGTGATCTTCATGGGAAGTGATGGGGTATCTCCCACTTCTGCTTAAATGAACATTGATTTAAGCACCCTGTGAGGCTGCTGAAGTGCGTCACCATACCTCACCCCCGGTAAAGAGGACAACCATGGACACCATGGGAAAATCATCCCAAATCAACAATCTCATTGAGGTTGATTCAGAATGCCAGGCCATTGAAAAATCATGGACACTATAGATTAAACATGATTAATTAAACATGATCATACCTTACCAGTACGTAACTTTCGCCAGGGTTGTAGCTTTTCGCGGCCTGCGGGACCTTGAAGTCGGTGACCTGCTTCATGAGATCTGCCTGATCTGGCACCTTTCATCGCATGCGGAGGGATGCCACGAACTGGGATGGGATTGATGTTGCTTTAGGAACAGCAATTGCAACGTTTGAACCGTTTTCCGGGATCGACTTTAGATCATCTGTGCCTCATGATTTCAAGATATGTCAAGATATGTCAAGGTGTCCTACCGTTCTCTCAGGGATTTCCATGATACTCTAAAGTTTTAGTGTCCTCTTCTTTCTCTCTCTCTCTCTGTGTCTCTCTGTGTATATATATATATATAAATATCTGCCCGGACACATATAGGCTGACTACCCTGAAAACATGTTTTATATTTTTTAATAAAGAGTAACTAAGTATGGTCATGATTTATTCCCCGGACAGAAACACAAACTATTATTCAAGGGGCTTTGTCGTTTGAGGTCGCTGCTATGCTGGTTTACTTGGTGCAGCACGGGCCCACAACAAATGACATGCACATATTGATATAATGCGGGTAATCCAATAGTACACCATCCCCGAATTGTAAATGGGTAGTAGTATAAAGCATCCCCCAAATGGTCAGTTTATTCTTGAGTTTGCCACACAAATTAATACATTGATGTATTTACATCCACTATATTACACTTAGATACACTTAGAGGGTTTGTGTGACTGAGCCTTTGACAAGTTTAGATAACCACGAAATCCACAATGAAACAGTTTGGGTCTTCAAACCACGCAGCATGGTGGCTCGGACCACTGCCAATCTGAGATACTGATGCCAAATGTTCCTCCATACATGTTTTATTTCAAAATCCACTCAGTCACCTGATATAATTATCAAGGCTAACCCATCATGTATTGTGTATGTTCAACTCCAAATGCCAATGTTCAGTCTTTGAATGGTCAAATCCATCAGATCCCAACTAGTCGATGATTTTCCCCATATTTCCCAGTTCAATTGTTAATATATCTTTAAATCACCAGTTTCCAGAGCACAATTTATGAAAGTCACATAAAGTAAATCCACATGGAGGTTTCCAATCTACCTCCAAATCATCTCCGTCATTTTCGGATTTTCATGGATTTTCCATTATAAACCATCCATCTCATGGATTATCCATCTCCTGGCTTTTCCATTGTAATTAACCCATCCATCTCATGGATTTTCCATTTTAAACCTAACATAACTATGGAAAATCACCATTTTCAATGGGAAAATCCACTATAAATGGCCATGTTCAATAGCTTTTTGTATGTTTACCAGAGGGTAACTTATGGCAACTTCCAGCGTTTTCATCACCGCACCTTGCCCTTTGCGGACTCCTCGGCGATCCCCTCAGGGCTACCGCCACGGCCCGTGGCTCGACTTAGGGCATCATCCTTTCGCATGCCTGGCGATCAAGATTTTTGCCAGGAGCCTAGGCAGCCTAGGGGATTTATATTATACATCATATGTATAACATGTGTTCTCAAATCTAAAATTGTTCATACATACATAATATATATATATATATGTGTGTGTTGTGTATTGTGCATATTATATATAATGTATATATATATATATATCTATGTATGTATATGTATGTGTATATATATATGTATGTATATATATATATAAATATTGTATATATGTAATATATGTCAATGTGAGTTGTCTCTCCATGTCTCTCCTTGAAATTCCGAGAATTGCCAAGACAGCTGTTGACGAACAAGGGTGAAAGAGGAGAATGAATCAACCAGCAAACATTTTATGGCTGCACATGATGCTTTGACATGGGCGGCAAATGACAAGGGTTCTTAACCAAGTGAAGCAACAGTCGGACATGGTGGCGTGAAATCTGGGCTTCAGCAGCAAGTATATCAGCAGGTTCAAGCAACAAAATAGGGGGTTAAGTGATTCAATTGATCAACATGAGGGCTGACTGAGAAAAAAAAGTGCTTGCATGGCTCTTGCCGGCCTTTTCCACCTTTGAAGTCAATGGGGGTCAGAAACAATGCAACAACTGCCACGAATTTTGTCAGCACTCAAGCATTAAAATTGATAAAATTGTAGAGTCATGACTTTCGATCCTTAGCCATACTTGCACTTCCTGAGTGATTGAATCCCACATCTACTGGTCTGATTTCTGGTCATTCTTGGGTTAAGGGTTATAATCGATTGTAACTGGTTGGTGGTTGAGCCACCCCTCTGAAAAACATTAGTCAATTGGGATTATCATTCCTAATGTATGGAAAAACAAAAGCCATGTTCCAAACCACCAACCAGGTAAAGATTCAATTCAGGGATTGCTGGTGCCAGATCCTATGTCCACCTTGCTCCCCCGAGCTGAACAGCCGCCTTGAATCTCATTGAATCGATCTCAGGCGGCTTCGCAAATGCACAACAGGTCAGTTTTAGATGTTGCTCGAAATCATCCGGCTACTCATGGGGGAACCTTTCAGCTCAAATGAAATAGACAATATGACCGATTCCATTAAAAAACACACACACACATATATATATATATATATAAATAAAAATATATATATATATATATTATAATTATAAATATATATATATATATCAAAATCATTCAACATCACCCTTTGTCGCAATACATCGCAATACTATTTCGTCCCAGGACGGCCTCCGTCGGACCGGGTTGCCCTTCAAGCTGCAGCCGAGAGTCTTTGATCCTCAGCTGAGAGGGGCGCATGCATCTCAAAGGAATACCTGGCGTGGGCCCAGGACGCCTTCATGAACGGTGACACTTGGTGCTTTCCCTGCCTATGATATCTATGATGACTTGCGGTTGATCAAAATCCTGGCACCCTATTGAACACCAACATATATAGCTGGTAAATGGATGCCATGTGGTAAACATTGGTAAACCACAGTGCCATAAACCATCCGAATTGAACAAACAACCATAACGAATCATAAAAGGGCGTCATATGGTGTCATCTTGCATGAATCATCCCTTTACTGGGGTTTTTCCAAAGTTCATAAGCCAAAACTGTGCTAGGTTTGATATGTTTAATCCACAGGCAGGGCACGTGTTGTCCAACTGGTTGATGCCATACTGAGTGAACATCATCTGCCGCAGGGAATGGTGATGGTGGCCCATCCGCACAGAACACGAACATACACCCATTGCATCCCATGATCCAGTTCTAAATCGACTCCGGATTTCGGGATTTTTATATAGATCAATATTTCATCCCTCACATTTCCTCATATATATAATTATATAATATCTCTATGTATATATATATAATTATATATATATACATAATGTGGTATCCCGATTAGTGTGGGGATAATGTATTTTGTCATTGTCAAGTTTTCCCAAAAATAATTCTAACCCAGTGGAATTGCTGGGGTGGGTCGGTATTGTGGCAAGTTTGTTTTTTTCTGTGAGGCCATTTTTGTTTTTCAGCATGTTGTTGTTTTTTTAGTTTTTCATTTTTTGAACTGTTTATCATTTGTTCAACTACTTATATTGCAAACTGTGTTTAAACAAAAAAATATGAAAGAACAAAATCAACATACCAAGTATTCTGTTAAAACACAAAAAAAACAGCACTCAAACAATTTTTCAAGGGGGTAGCCCATTAGCAACCCTGATCTTCAATAGTATGTTTGTTGTGGGGGCCCTCTATTGTGTCAAGTTTTTTTTTGAAGTGAAACTATTCCTGTCCTTGTCCTTTCCTTTAGTTTTTCTATATTACTTTCTTATCTCCATTTTTTTGGATTTCTCAAAAACTCTAAATTCCTGACATATAGGATGTCTTACTAAAACCCCATTAAACAAAAAACATCACTCAAACAATTTTTCAAGGGGGTAGCCCATGAGCAACCCTGATCTTCAATAGTATGTTTGTTGTGGGGGTCCTCTATTGTGTCCAGCTTTTTTTTGAAGCGGGTGTTTTTTTCCAAAATCCTTTTCTCCGTTCCTTTGCTATAGCTTTTGTCTCTTACTTAGTTCAATTCTCCTGGCATCCTCTCCTTGCTTTCTATGGTGTTTCTATAGGATTTCTATAAAGTTTCTATGGGAATTCTATGAACGTCTATTGTGTTTCTATGATATTCTATGGTGCTTCTCAAGGGGTGTCTATGGTATTTCTATGGGATTCCTATGGGGGTTCAAAAGGATGTCTATGGGATTTCCTGTGGATTCCTATGGTGTTTCTATGGTATTTCTATGATATTTCTGTGTGATTTCTCTGGGATTCCTATGGGGTTCCAATGGCATTCCTATGGGAGTTCCATGATGTTTCTATGATATTTATATGGGATTACTATGGGATGTCTGAGGAAATTCTATGGGAGTCTTATGGGATGTCTGTGTGGTTCCTATGTTATTTCCATGTTATTTCTATGATCTTTCTATGTGATTTCTGTGGGATTGCTATGGGATGCCCATGATATTTCTATGACATGTCTATGGGATTACTATGGGATGTTAATTGAAAGTAAGTTGAAATCAATTGAAAAAAATCCAACTATATAAATTGAAATCAATCGAACATCGATTGAAAGTAAGTTGAAATCAATTGAACATAAATTGAACCTAAATCGAAATCAATTGAAAATAAATTGAAAGTAAGTTGAAATCAAATGAAAATCAATTGAACGTAAATTGAAAATAAATCTAAATCTATTGAACGTAAATTGAAATCAATTGAAAGTAAATTGAAATCAATGGAAAGTGAATTAAAATCAATTTAAATCAATTGAAAGTATATAAATTGAAATCAATTGAAAGTAAATTGAAATCAATTGAAATCTTTACTTACGATCATGATCCAAAATCATTCAGACCCCGACCCTTCAAAAGTTACTAGCCTAAAGAGGCACCTTCAAATGTTTAGGGGGGGCCTACACTAATCAGGATCCGACATTACTGGAAATTCAGGTACATCATTACTCATCTATTGATCAATGATCCTTGAATTATCCATAATAATGAACTATTGTTCCCTCAGTTGGATAATTGATAATCCCTAATGATTGACAATCCAATCATTATTCCCTGAATTATTGAACCACACGGGGGCACCATTTCTTGGGATACCCGTTCCGGTGCCTCCCCCACCAATGGCTGTTCCGGTGAGTCGCGCTGGCTCAAGTTCTTCACCGTCAGCAGGTACCTCACAGGCAGGGTCGACATCATATGCATATGAAGAGAAAGATGCATATCTCAACAAATGCATATCTATAGATATATATATATATATATATATATATGTACTGCAAATATATACATATATAAATACCTGCAGCCTCCAGGGCCTGCATAATTTTAGTCCCTAATGGGAAAAGTGACCCTGTGAAATAAGGGAATGAAAATCCAGCCAGGGGCTGATTTCATGATTTATCCAAAATAGCTCCCATGGGGCTCAGGAAAGAACTGACCAGTGGATGAATTTGATGGTTTCATGGTGGTTTCAGTGTTCAATCAAACTTTCAGTTCGACATCAACAATGCTGAGGGTTTCACTGCAACACCATCATTCCAATAACATAAGATCTATAGCTTGATGAACTAGAAAGTCATCAAACCATATCGGATTTCATCAAGCCCCACCGGCGCCGTCCACATGCTGTGATGCTGGCACCATCCTTTTTCTTTGACTTTATCATGCAGATCCTCCAAGTGCGCCTGCCCTGTTTAGGCACTGCTCGTCTCGAGGATGGATCACTGGATGCTAAGTTCAAATAAACTGATGTCAAAGACCCATAGTTAACACATATTCCCAAACCATACATTGGAAGAATGCTTTGTCTATCTGAACTTTAGATGCCATGAATTGGAGTGGATATTTGACCCGATGTACCAATACTGGCCTGAAGCCATTTTCTGGGGTTCAGCACTGCATCATCTGATTGTTGCTGCCTTTGGCCAACTGAGCCAATCATGCCTACCGTTGCTTCCAGCCTGGCAAGTGCTGGGAATGGCCCGCTCACCCGGAAGGCGAGCAGGCAAACCCTTCCAGTGGGAGACTTGGCAGAGTTGTGGGAATCTGACCGGCAGGTGAGAGATCGTCTTAGAAACAATGGTGGGAAAATGGTCCAATGGGTGTCGGATGAGCTCATCAACAAGCCGACTATGGCTGGCATAGCATTGAACTGTTGTGCTTTGACACATTTGGCAAATTGGTGGTGCAAGCGTCAAACATCCCCAAAGAGCCCTAGCGTTTTGGACTTGAAGAAAGAGGCACACCAAAAGAACACCATAGAATGTGTTTTGCAATAGTGTTCATACCATAAATGCTCAAATCCAATTTCATGGTTAGTGATCATCTATGTGATTTGGTTACTTTGACAATTTACATCACAATTGGCCAGTCATATATATAGATCTAATTATGTGACAACTTCCCTGGCAGGTGAATCATCTGAGAGGGATTTGCCAGCTACCCACGGATTTGGTGGCTTTGCATCATGATTCATGGGGGCTGAGGAAGTTGTTCACGTATGGTGTTCGCAAGTCCGGAGCGGACAACCTGGCCTCCAGATCACCGAACCGCCGTGAATCTTATCTTTGACCAGCCTTGGGTTTGCGCAAGGGATTCATGTTTCAAAACTTTGGCAAACTGGAGTGAATGATATTGCACTCTGCACGATTCTGCAGTGATTGATATATATATATATATAATATCTATATATATATATATTATAATTCATGATATATATATATAATTAATGAGATATATATATATATATTTAAATACCATGACCTGTTCATTCCAAAGTGAAACTCCATCGATCCAAACATAGCCAAACCATTTCAAACCAGGAAGTTGCCACCAATCCCTTTTTTGATGAACTATTCCGACATTGGTACGTTCGTCTTCGGCCTGGTGTTAGAATGATTCAGATCGAGGTGGAAGATTCTGATGACGAATCCACCGACTTTTCAGATTTCATTCAGGTCAAGATGGACCCATACATAGAGGATAGCAAACAGAACCTCTCCAACTCTGTCAGCCTTGAACCAGCTTCGGGAGTGAAACCAGTTGTGAAAGGTGAACAACCTGTGAAGGTTGAGCCCGCTACTTCAGGGAATGTTACACAGTGCTCGGAACATGGTGTGAAAGCTCCCCTTGTAGTTACCATTGATGATGACAACAGTCCCATGAAAGACACCAAGGGGGATAAGGATAAGACCTCTTGCGTGACTCCAGACCAGCCCACAACTGCTGACGACATCAAAGCCCGAATTGCGCAGCTTCAGTTTTTGGGACAGTATTTGATTTATTTGTTCGATATTTTTTTTGACAGTGTATGGATCCATTTCTTTACCGATAGCCCATGAATATTATTATATCAATAATTAATTAATTTGTGATATAGAATAGCATCAACTAATTGACTGCAGTGTGACCTCAATGTTTTACGTTTTGTATGGCAAAGTTTCACAACGGTAACATCTCTCCCCTCTAAAAAGATTCCTTCCAATTGCCTGTCTCAGAACTCTGCGCGCTCAGGTTGGAACTTGCAAAGAGACGTGCTTCCAAGTTTGCCATGGACAATGCAGAGACACAACCTTTGCCACCCTCTCTGTCCGATGCTGTTGCTTCGGCTGGTGCTTTGGCTTTGACCCCTTCGCCTGACCATGCAGGAGCGGTTCAGGAAATGATGCCTACTGATGATGGTTGCGATGATGGTCTCAGGCGCTCTCTGCAGCGCCAGTTCTCGGCAGAGGAGCATTTGGGTGTGGCTGATGGCTCACAGGAGGCTACACCAGTTGGGGGTGTAGCTGATGGCTCACAAGAGGCCGCGCCAGTTGATCATGGGCTTGAAGGTGCTGTCCCGGATCATGAATTGGGATTGGTGCCAAATCCAGTTGAGGATCAGCTTGGTGACCTTGTTGCCAAGGCCGATGAAGCTCCTATGGCTGCATGCGATGCGCTGGACCAGATGCCTGACCATGTGCCTCCATCTGTGGAAAAGGAGTTGGATTGTCAGTTGATTGAGGATGCCTTCGTGGAGAAACAACAGGCTGTTCCAACACCTGCAAATCCAGAAACCACTCCTTCTGTGGAGGCCCTTTGCTCAGCAGTGCCTGCACCTTCACAGCCAGTGAATGCTTGTGAGGGTGCACTGATGGCTGGTGGTTGTGACGATGAACCAATGCTTGAAGATGAGAATGGAGAGATGGGTGAGATGAAAGATGAGAAGATGGTGGTTGCTGATGAGATCAGTGATGGGGGTGAAGATGATGAAGAGCCTCCTGTCGTTCCGAGGAGAGATCAGTGGTCTTTGCGACCTGCTCCCAAGCCTCGAGGGCGAAAGCCCAAGGCTGCAGCCAAAGCCAAGGAGGCAAAGCCCAAGACGGCACCGCGTACTGGAGGCCGCAAAAACACCCGCAAGTTCATCACTATCGATGACATTGTTCCCCCGACCCCAGCACCACCAGCTGTTGCTGCTGATGGCAACGGTGCTGTGCCTCCAAAGGCAGTCGAGAAGAAGCAGCCTCGTAAGAGGGCTGCAAAGGCCAAGGCTTCTGGTTCTAAGAAGAAGCGCCAAGCTTCTGCTGCCTCCGAGGGTGAGAAGCCGCTGTCTGCCAAGGACAAGGAAGATGAAAAAAACAAAATTGTTTGGACACATGTTTCAAAAGAAGCTGCTCCTGTGGTTGCCGGAAACCTCAAATGGGCCCCTGTGCAGGACAAAGCTGTGGATGATAAGGTTCTTCCTGAAGCTCCCAAGGATGATGCGGCTGAGCCCATGGGCAGCTCTGGAAGCTCTGGACATGTTGAGAAACCCAAGACCGATGGTCCCGGCAGTTGCAATGATGATCGACGTGAAGGTGATGCTAAAGGTGGTGGCAAAGGTGATGCCAAAGCTGAGCATGTGAAATCCTTTGCCAGGAGATTCATCCCGAAATTGACACCTGCTCGTGAGCGTTGGTTAGCAGTCCGAGATGTCTTCAACCAGCATGTGAAGGATTGCATTGAGGAGCTTGGTTTCAAGCCCTACCCTGTGGAGGCACGAGATTTCCTGTGTGCCCCCCTTGTTTTTAAACATGTGGATGGGGATGTGTAAGACTATGACTGGCTCTTGCTTTGGAACTAGAACATACAAATTAAAAACTTTTGGGAAGACCAGTGCACAATGTGCAACACTTGCGCATGCAGGTGGAATGGTGGAACTGGTGCGCCAAAGCTTTCAAGGACGATGATCACTTGACTTCTCTCGGCCGCTCAGATTCAAGCGCGGATGCATTGCAAGCATTTGTGGCTGCTGCAAACCAGCAGGTGAGTTTGTTCAAGGATAACCGTGGCCTCACTGCCCCATAGGTTTGCTTTGCCATACCTTCCAAGTGGATTTGAATACATGTGCAACTTAGATATATATATACACACTGCAGTCTTTTCGAACGCAACCAGAATGCTTTAAAATCATTTCTTGCCTTTCAGCTATTTGCAGTTTTCCTTTCTTGGGACGTCACTTGGTATGCTGGCGCTCTTTTAGGAGCAGCAATTCGGATGAGCTTTTGGGGGTGGCGGCCAAATATGTGGCCAGTCAAATCAGTGCATCAAGGTGCATTGAATGATCGTTCCGGTAGTGCGTGTTGCATTTTCAACATGCAGTCCAGGCACGTGATATCACGTGATCTCGATGTGGCAGAGTCGCATTGCAAGCCTCACATTGACTGCTTGGTACGGCTACTGGCTTGGGGAAAAAACAACTTGAAGCAACCCGTTGGTTTTCGTTGTCTTGACAATTCATCTTCCTTTTTTGGGGGAATGATCTACCATTTAATTTTGAAACAGTTATTGAATGAATACTCAAACAAACTATGCTGTTGAAATTCGATCATCTTATCTTTGGAGTGGTATATGGTTTATGGTGGTTTATCTTCAATGTATATCAGTCAAGCAGTGCCACCGCTGGTTCCACTGAAAAACGTTTTGTACTCTATATCGATCATTAGTATAGCAACTACAGAGTAAACAGCCTTCAATTTCCCCTGGATTGCCAGGTTGACCATGGCGGAGTTTCGGTTGCGAGGCGGAGTCAATATGGCCAAGTTCGGGATTGGCCCAAAACAAGGTCTTCCTGGCTATGGGTTACCTGAAATCCAAGAATGTGAGTGCCTTTTCCATTTGGGTCTTTTGGGCAAGCCTGTGTCACCCATTAAATTTCCTGCTGCTGCATAGTGGTTCTGTTCCACCAAAGTCAAACAATCCCGAACACATAGTACAATGAAATATTGCGGAATACTTCACATTGATTGGACACAACCAAACGGTATGACCAGGATTGCATTTTAATGTTTCCTGCTTGGGGCTTTCAGTTCAAAACATCTTGGCCACCGTTTGCAGCCATGACTCCTGACCAATTCGAAGCCTTTGTCCGCAAGATGATTGCATTTCAGTTGCCTAAGGACGCTTGATTGACCAGTGAGACCCATATACATTGGGGATAACTATATATATGTATAAAGCAGATATACATGCCCTGAATATTGTAATACTACTTGGTATTGTGATAGTTGACATCAAGGAATAAGTTTTTGGAACCTGCTATTTCAGATCGATCTACATACGCCATATGGCATCATAAACATGTCTGCTGAGGTGATCGTTCTTTTGGTGCTCCTCGTATGGTGGCACAACCTTCATGCTCCAGATGAACCGTATCAGGTCATAGAATATTTTGCTGGAGTGGGAAGAATTGCTGCAGTGGCCAAATACCAGGGATACAAAACTGCAGCTGTAGATTTGGAATATGGAAAGGATATCCCCAGAAAAAAGAAAAGAGGCAATTCCAGACCACCTATGGATCTCAATGGGTCGGCAGGCCTGATGTTACTAGACAAATGCTTAGTGAATTTGTTGTTTTTGTTTTATGCATGTTGAGTTTACAACACAAGTTGCTGCTTACATTATAGCGGTTACACCAAGAATTGCTGTTACATGCTGTACTGATTTCAATATTGGGTTCTCCCGCTACTACATGTTTCTGGAAAATTCCTTTCCAACTGCATGTGCCCTTTGTATGTTCTTGAATCGCTCAGGTTGGCTATACATCTACTTCTTTGCAGCGATTCAGTTGCAGCATTTTATGCTGTTGTATGCAGCTCCTGGGTGCCTGTGAATCGTGGATCCACACTTCGGGATATTCTTACTCCTTTGGGGAATGAAGATTATCCCAGTGTCAGACGTGGCAACAAGCTAACAGCTAGGACTGTGTTTTTTTAAACTGTGGTTGTTCAAGTTCATGGTTCACATCAGCCCATCAATAAAGTTTATTGATGCACTTTGGACTGAAAGCATGCAATGGTTTGGTGTTTTCATTTGGGCTTCCCCCAAAGGAGTTGCATACTGATGCTCCTCACAGTTGTGCTTGGTGGGGTTTACTTCATGGAGAACCCACTCAATTCGTTGATTGCGATGCACCCCCGCTATATCTGGCTGGTTGAAACATTGAGAGCACTTGGGGTTCCAGTTGCTTGGATTCATGTGCTACAATTTTTTAACATGGATATACTTTTATTATCTCTTATTTCTGGGTGCAAGTTCTCATACCCCTGGAACATGGTGATTCAAACCATTTTTGATTTGGTCATTAGCTCCCTGGTTGCTGCCACTTAGACCTATAAAGTGGCCTTTTGGATGAGAAAGTATGCATCCCTATCGTGGAAACGGACCTGGGTTTGGGCAACGACTCCTCTTATCGCTTCTTTGGATTTGGGGGCAATGACTCCTCAAGAACGACTTGGTAGCAAGACTTTGACAACCCGCTACAAAGATTCCAAAGGTAGAACGCGATTCAAAGGGAACAAATCGTTGAAAACAAGCCAGTACCTTTTCTTGATCAGAATGTTTGTAGTATATGGTTTGTTTTCCCAAAAGTCTTTCACCAACTTTGGGACTATGTTAATCTTTTGCCTATCTTGTTGTCACTGCAGCCATGCTGCTAAGGCAGTACACCTTCAGATTCGCTGCCAAAATGGTGTCCTTGGTTCCGAAGGTAAGAGCTGTTGTTCAAGCACCAGAGCCAGAAAAGGTGAGGGAGTTGTTGAAACGTTAACAACTTACAAAAACCCAAGAGAAATCGTTTTGATGGCTTGGGGTACCTTACATACCGACAATGGGTTGAAAACATATGGTTGACATATAGGATGTTTTGGGTGTTGCTGTTATATCAATTTTGGTCACTGACAATGTTAGTTGTCCATCAGCATCTATATATATATAATATAAACAGTGTTTTAATTCCCATTATCTGACCGCAAGGTTCCTTCTGGATCATTACCCCAATTGTTCTCTGCGATGCCCTGGTGTGACGAATGCACCAAATGGGACGAGGAGGCAGATCTTAGAGAAGTGATCCGCTATGCCCGTGGATCGACAAAGTTGCAGATCCCTCCGTCTTGGAGAGAAGTTTTACCCAAAACTATTCCTCCCACTTAAACCCACAATGGTATTCCATAGGGACGACTATAATACATCATGGAAGATGCTTCATATAATTGCCCTGAACTCAAAACATAATATCGATATCATTGAGGTACAGGATAGTTCCAAGAATAGCTATCACTGTGAGGAATAGCTTTGGTCTACCAAGCTTCGGATGTCCACCGTGGATCAATTGATGTCCTGCGCCGAAAACTGTGTGGTCGATCTGGGAACTGTTTAGGGAACCATAACTGCCCAAGGTTTACTTGTTTGAGTATGGTTTGAATACTTGCATGCAGCCATTATACTCATGTTTATGGATGGCAACTTTGCCAAAAATTTGAACGGATCATGCATGATTACACTCATATGAGTGGGATTACTTTCCTACATGCACATGTGCACCCATGCATGCAGTAAACTTGCAGAAACTCACAACAAGACCATTTACTCATATGAGTAGGAGTTTATTACCACAAGACCACTTACTCATATGAGTAGAATTATAATTATAATTAATATATCTCAAGACCACTTACTCATATGAGTGGGATTATTTAGTATATCACAAGACCAGTTATACTCATATGAGTAGGATTACATTGTACAAAACAAAGCAGCTTTACTCATATGAGTAACTATGGGTTTTATGATGTGCCACTCATATGAGTAAAATTTTCCCCAAGAGCACTTACTCATATGAGTAACTATGGGTTTTATGATGTGCCACTCATATGAGTAAAATTTTCCCCAAGAGCACTTACTCATATGAGTAACTATGGGTTTTATGATGTGCCACTCATATGAGTAAAATTTTCCCAAGAGCACTTACTCATATGAGTAACGTGGGTTTTATGAATTGCCTCTCATATGAGTAAAATTCCCCAAGAGCACTTACTCATATGAGTAACTATGGGTTTTATGATTTGTCATTCATATGAGCAAAAGTCATGACAAATCAGGGGCGGATTTGCCCGGGTTAGGGGCGGATTTGCCCGGGTTAGGGGCGGATTTCGCCGGTCACTGGTTTTGGGATCTCTGCAAGTCAGGGTTAAAGACCACAACTCATGATTTGGGTTTTACAAGACAACTTACTCATAAGTATGGGGTCAAGCTGCCTACTCATGATTTGGTATGCTCATCGGTTTCCCCAGGTCATGAACAGAATTCAACGGATATCTTGGTTGTCGCTGTTAATTTCTCAAGGTGCTCCAGGAACTTTGATTGGTGTTGTGATGGAACTTCCATCACGGGTTTGGTCCACAGAAACCCTAGAAATTGGTTTGCAAATGGTGGAAAACGGGGCTGGCCTACCGGATTCCATGTCCAGTCGCAGTGATTATGATATTCAACAAGAAATCGATGCCTTGAAGGACTGGTTGTGTTTGTTTTTTGGACACTCTATCAGCTTGGTAGCAACCTGGTATGTTCTAATTACCTATATAAGGTGATCAAAATCCAACAGTTATACTTCTGGCAGGAGATGCAATTGGCTGGAACCAGAGTTCCGGTGGCAACACCAGCTCGAACACCCTCCTGTCCTCCTCAAATTCATGGTGGTTGCAGTGGCCCTGAAGATGAAACCATTCCTGCTGACCTGGGTGAGCAGACCAAGCAAGACCCCCGTTGAAGTACTTA